TCTCTCTCTCTCTCTCTCTCTCTCTCACTCACACACTCACTCACTCACACGCACACTCACACTCACACTCACTCACTCACACACACACACACACACACACTCTCTCTCACACACTCACTCACTCACTCACTCACTCACTCACGCACGCGCACACACACACACACACTCACTCACACACTCACTCACTCACTCACTCACACACACACACACACACACTCACTCACTCACACACACACACTTTTTAAAAAAATTTTATGTGTAATTTTAATTTTCTAAATAAATAAATTTCCCCCCAGTTTTTTTTAAGCATCAATCAAAGTGATTCTGTAATAGGTTTTTCATCCTGAGGGATCATATTTCTATTCTACTATATTAACAGAAACCTCTCGTGTATCCTGAAGGAACATTTGAAGATGGTGACACACTCTTTGTTCTCTCGTTTAATGAAGGAAGAGGGCGGCTGTAAATCTAATAATGTCTTTTGATTGACACTCCTGCTTTTATTAATCTAACCAGTGTCCAAGCTGTTTGACTGAAAGCTTTTCATAAAACGCAGGACTGGTTTAGTGTTAAATATATATTTATTTCAAGCCACTTTTCTAATATTCCTGCCATTGAGTTCAGAAGCAAAACACCATCTGTGTAGGAGGAGAGACGCTGGTTCAGTCGTGTGATGTTTAATGAAGAAGCATTACTGTGGGTGAGACTGACGTGCTTCTGTCTCATTGCTCACCGTACAGCGGCAAACACTCGGACCGGGCGATGAAAGACCCAAGGTACAGCGGCACGAGCTCTTCAGTCTCCTCCCAGAGTTCAGTGCTTCAGTTCTGCATGCTGCTCATGTTTCGTTGAGGCATCTGTTCGACAGAGCGACCCGTGTTTGTTATGTTTGCATGGGATTTTTCAGGTTTGCACGTGTGCTTGTGAAAGTCAGAGACTCTGTGTAACTTCACTCATGCTCTTCTGCAGTCGAACGCAAAGGTAAAGTTAGTTCGGAGCCTGGCCGTTTGTGAAGATCCCTGTCCTTCCACGATTACCACACAGCTGCCTCAAGATCAGCAGGTAAACGTGCTCCAGATCTCCAGTGCAATATCATGAGTGCAGTCAGCAGATGATGCCATCTCACTCATACTGCTGTGACTGAGAATATTTCTGTTACATCTTATTATTATTATATGTCTGTTTAAGGTAAATTGAGCTGCATAATAACTAATAAAGTAAATTGAGCTGCATGAACCGTCTTCTGATTGGCTTGTTCAGTGGTTTATGTCATATTACACAGCGTTTTAGCTTCCAGTGTGGAAATGTGTTTTTGGACACAAAAAAAAACTTAAATGTGGGCATTTTTAGCAGAAGGTTCTGATAGAGTCTCTGTTTTCTGTCACGGTTATGCTGGTTTTCTCTGTTATTCACAGAATAAAGTCTGATTAGTTTGTCTAAGGAGAGTTTAAGGTTCATTCATGTAAATAGTGATCTATCTAAACTGAATCTATCTATCTATCCATCCATCTATCCATCCATCTGTCCATCCATCCATCTATCCATCTATCTATCCATCTGTCCATCCATCCATCCATCTATCCATCCACCTATCCATCCATCCATCTATCCATCTATCCATCCATCTTTCCATCTATCCATCCATCTTTCCATCCATCCATCTATCCATCTATCCATCCATCCTCTATCTATCTATCATCTGTCCATCCATCCATCCATCTATCCATCCATCTGTCCATCCATCCATCTATCCATCTATCCATCCATCTTTCCATCTATCCATCCATCTTTCCATCCATCCATCTATCCATCTATCCATCCATCTGTCCATCCATCTATCTATCCATCTGTCCATCTATCCATCCATCTGTCCATCCATCTATCCATCTGTCCATCTATCCATCCATCTGTCCATCCATCCATC